GGGGCGCTGGAGGCCACCAGGGCCTCCCCGCCAGCCGCAGCTGGGCCCGTCCCGCGTGGAAGGTTACAACGCGCGCCGCCGGCGGCTGCCCGGGCCCAGCCCCGGGCGGAACGGCGAAGCGCCCGAGAGTTAGACAAGCGCGTTCCACTGCTCGCAAAGTAACTACTCGCAAATGGCCTGGATCCGCCGCGGGGGATTTACGATCCATGACTTATGGGAAGACTTGTTTGTTCTCAAGACGTTTGCGAATATGCCCGTTGCGAGTCGCGGGACGCGCTCGGTGAGAGAGGGAGGGGCCGCCGCCCGCGCGGCGGCACGGCGCAGCGCCCGAGAGGAGGAGGAGGAGGGGGAGGAAGAGGAGGAGGAGGAGAAGGAGGCGGAGGAGGAGGAGGAAGAAGAAGAAGAGGGAGGGGGAAGAGGAGGAGGAGGAGGAGGAGGAGGAGGAGGAGAAGGAGGAGGAGGAGGAGGAGCTTAGGGCAGATACGACCACCCACCTTGGCATCCACTGACACAGCCCCCCTACTCCCTCAGCAACGCCTGCGCCGATCCCAGCGGGGCCCATCCCTCGCCCCCGGCCCGCTTGCGATGGCCCCGGGGCCCGACAGCAGGCCCCGGAGGCTGAAACCGAGCTCGAGAGGAACAAGGCCCCGGATCCACGGCAGCACTGGCAGCACCATCGTCGAAGATCCGTGGGCACCCCTCGGCGACTCCGTCGGGCGTGGTCTGCAAAGGGTGCGGTGTGCAGCCCGCGCCTGGTTGGGGGGGGAGGAGGAGGAAGAGAAGGAGGAGGAGGAGGAACAGCAGAAGAAGCAGATGGAAAAGGAAGAGGAGGAGGAGGAGAAGGAGGAGGAGGATGAGGAGGAGGAGGAGGAAGAGGAGGAGAAAGATGATGATGATGATGATGATGATGATGATGATGATGATGATGATGATGATGATGATGATGATGATGATGATGATGATGATGATGATGATGATGATGAGGAGGAGGAGGAGGAGGAGGAGGCAGGAGAGGAGGAGGAGGAGGAGGAGGGGGAGGAGAGGAGGAGAGGGGTGGGGGGGGGGGCGGGCGAGGACCTAGACAGAGAGCTCTGCCACGCCCCGACGCGGGCTCGTCAAACCTTTGGCGCAACGTGGTGACCCCCTGAGCCCCAAAGCGCCGATCGCAGACCGCACCCTGGCGTAACCACATCCGTTGTATCGACGGCGAGCGAGGGGGGAAATGAGGAGAAGGCCTTCTCAGAAGGTGGCGGGACTTCTCAGGAACCCTCGCGCCTTCTGAGGAATGTTCTGCGTCGTCGGGGACGCCTCAGAAAACTTCTCGCAAGACCAGGGGACTTCCTAGCCTTCTGAGAAGGCCTTCTCCTTCTCACTTCCCCCCTATCGCTTGCCGCCGAGTTCAATTTTCGGGGCATAACTCGGGTCTCCAGCGGCCGTTCGGGACGATCCAGGCATCCCCAGCACGCTCTCGGCGAGGCGCAGCCGCTGGAACGCATCCTAAGGGCGGAAAGCCGCCAAGAAACTGCGAAAACTCCAGAAAACCGAAGCTCGAACCTCGAAATTACCCCCCCTCTGGCGGCACCTTTTGGGCCTTTTTCTCTGCGCCGTCGGCCGCCGCCCGGCGCGGGAAAAGAGTCGGCTACCACCCAGCGCGCGTCAGGGGGGGGGGCTCGGTGCCCCCAACGGCTGCGGCGGCTATGCCCTGCCCTGCCATGCCCTTCCCTGCCTTGCCTTCTCTCTCTCTCTCTCTTTTTCTCTCGCCCTCTCTCTCTCTGGTATACATATTTATATTTATATGTATATATATATACACACATTTATATATATATATATATATATATCTATATATATATATATATATATGCATGCAAACGTATACACGTATATGGGCACATCGATTTCCTATTATATATGTATGGTTATACCTTTCTAGGTCTGCATACATCTATATCTCTCTACCCGTATATTTTTCAGTAAGCTAACACATCTGTACAAATGCGTACGTTCCCCCTCTGATAATATATCCTTTCGCCTCTACATCTTTATGTGACTCACTTGCGTTTTCTGTATATACATACATGCATACGCAAACGTGTATGTACACATTGAGATATATACACGCGTAATCGTGTATGCATGCATGCATGCATGCATGTACGTAGGTATTGGTATACGTATATGTGTGCATGCACGTATGCATGTATGCATGTGCATATGTCTGTATGCCTGTCGGTATGTATGCGTGTATGTTGGTGCATGCATGCATGTGTGTATGTGTGGATGCATGTATGTACGTCTCTATGTTTGCATGCATGCATGCGTGCATGCACTCATGTATGTATTAACATAGGTATGTGTGTATGCATGTACGCATGCATGTATGCATGCATATACATATGTGTAGTGTACACATACACATGACTTGTATAGGCTTGCACGCACATCTGCTTGTATACGTATTCAGGCCTATTGCAGGTGGGAAGGGGGCTGTCCACACACATGCAAATACACACATGTGTGTATACATATATATATATATATATACACACCATATGTATATATACATGCACATACATATGTATATACAACTATGTCTAGGCATTGTATATACGCATTGTTTTGGAGATGCAGGCGGCTGGTTTCTGCTCGTCGAGGCTCGGTGACAGCTCCTGTGCACACGAGTGACGGCGATCAGATGTCTGCGTGTCTCTGCAGGCCTCCAGGGACCTCCAGAGTCAGAGACACCTTGGGGACCCCTGGGCCGCTCCGCTGCGCGGGGCGGGAGGCCGGCCAAGGCTCGGGACGCTGACGCTCGGAAGTGGGGAACTGGCCAGCGTGTCGCGCCGAAGCGCGGTGGGCCAGAACCGGTGGCGCGACACGCTACAGTCGAGGCTGACGGGAGAGGACATGCGAGAGGACACAAGACCCTTCCGAGGGCCACACTGCCATAGGAGTGTAGAAGGCATGGGTCGCCAACACACAGGACGCAGGAGCACCCCTGATTTGGCAGGGTCGACCTACCAATCCGCCTCGACTGTATCCAAGAGTGCCCGACCGCAAGCCTGCAAGGGCAAAAACTACAGCAGGTGCGCGTCGCGGTGACGTCGGCGTTGGTCTCTGACGCCGTGCAGATCGATCCACCTTCAGCGATCGGCGGGTCTCCGATCGCCAGATCGTTCCCGAAGTTCCTGACCGTCAGGTTGGCCTCCTCCTCCTCCTCCTCCTCCTCCTCCTCCTCCTACTCCTTCTCCCCCTCCTACTCCTTCTTCACCTCCTCCTCCTCCTCCTCCTCTTCCTCCCCTCCCCCTCCTCCTCCTCCTCCTCCTCCTCCTCCTCCTCCTCCTCCTCCTCCTCCTCCTCCGCCTCCGCCTCCTCTGGCTCAGGCCGCTGGTTGCCCTCAGCCTCGAGCGCCAGCGCCGGCGCCGCCGAAGGCGAGGCGCGGCGCCAGCCTGCCGGCGACGCTGGGCGTCCTGCTGGCCTGAGCGCGCCCGGCCACCGTCTCCACGGCCGCCCCGGACGTCGGGAGGAATCGGTGTGTTTTTGGGGTGTTCTTTGTGGTGGGGGGGAACCCGTAAGGGTCTTCATCGGAGAACCAACCAACTCGGCATGTTGCTACCTTCACCCGGAGAAGCAACCCTTTGCCTGGAGAGCCAACTCTTTTCCCTGAGAACCAAAGCCCTCAAGAGGTCGGGGAGCGACGTGTCATTGAAGTCGTCGTGCTGCCCATAGAAGGGCGCTGGATAGACGCGGCTTCTCCGGCCACGGCGGTGCACGGCATCGCCATGAATGGGCTCCCTGGCCCAGGGTCTATACGGGACGGCTGGAGAGCCAGAGCCCCTCAGGAGCCCAAAGCGATCCCTGTTTCAGCGACTTGGATGTACAGGGCAGTTTTTGATACATCGGATTTTAAACCATGTGATTTTAATACATGATTATTTCATGAATAAATTCATGCATGAACTCATCGTTGAATATATGATCCGCACGCGGAGCATGTATTAAAAACGGCCCTCCTATGAGCAAGAAGACTTGCGCGCGGATCTCCTGCGTCGCAGAGCGCGCCGTAGGCGGCGGCTCCAGTAGCGGACCCAGGGTGTGTGAGCGGAGGGGGGTGCTAAGCTGTCCCAGGAAGTTGGCGCGGACCTCCGAAAGTCAATGTTTATGATATTCGAGAGTCTTCTAAGACGGGAATGATGTCATGATGGATTTCCAGATGCGTTCGAGGATCTCGAGAGAATCTAGCGGCCATCGTTTCCGAAGCCCGTGCGGAACAGTAGTAAATCTGAGGAACGCTGCTTCGTATCATTCGCTATTTTGGGGGGGACGTAAGGGTGGGGTAGGGGTAGAGGTGGGGCTGGGAGGAACATCGATCTAAACGGCTCCTGGAAGAAAGACATGTGGGCATTCAGCTGGACTCGTTACCCAACCCCACCTTGGGATGGCCCCCTGCTACATCCCTCCTCGAAATCAAGCGTGAGTTTTTCCCGCGACGTGGCGGCGCCCCAGGGCGCCAACACTTCGACGCTCGCGACGACACTGGTGTTAAGTCGGGTACGTCCCTCTACAGGAGGAATATCCAAACATAGTCAAAGACAATCTCAATTTTTGAGCATGTATATCTATAAATACACATATGTATATGTTGTTTGTTTTTGTTGTTGTTTGTATTGTAGACTTTTCGTCCAATATCCCCCTGTAGGGGGACCTGCCCGACCTAACAGTGGTGGCTGCAAGCACACAGATCTGACCCCGTGGGCCGCACGTCGAGCGTCGGCCAGCACGAAAAACCTTGAGCCTGACTTCGAGGAGGGCTGTACTGGAGGGGCACAGGGACACACAAATAAGTAGACACACATAACAGGATTCCCTCTTTTCCCATATCTTCGGGGTTTTCGTCTTCCCCCCCTCTTCCCATGTTTTCCAACATATTTCCTGGGAGTCGACGGTTCATAGTGTCTGTGTTTCTTCCCTCCTGATGTGCCACCCGCCGGAACTAGATCCTACACCTGGATGGCCTCGTAGCCTGGGATGTCGAACTCGTTGCTGCAGTACTCGAGCTTAAAAGCGCTCTGCATCTGCTTGATCCGCTTCGGCATGACCTTCTCGGGCTGCGGCAGGCCTTCCCTCTTCGGGCCGGCCTCCCAGTAGCGCTGGTACATCTCGCCCCAGTGGTCCTGGAGGCAAACGACACGGCGTACGCACGCACTTTCGAAGGTCCGCGCGGATCTCTTGGACCGGCACAGACCATCAATAGTTTATCATCAACCCGTATAATGAGGGTGCACGATGAGGATGCAAGGACCTTGGAAGTCCATGCCGGCACCGCTCGAGCGGGGCGCTGCCAGCGAATGTCGCCAGGGAGGGGCCGAAAGGGAAGGATGCAAGGGTAACCTTGGAACGTGGCTCACCCGTATGATCCCTGTTGACTCTGTGTTGATGAAACTTCTTCTCCTGTGAAGTCCTGGATCAGATCCTCGGCCTTCCTGCCCTTGTGGTCCAGGATGTCCGTGCTGGCCCCGTGCTTCAGGAGCCAGACGACCGCCTTCGGGTTGTCCGACAGGACGGCCCAGTGCAGCGGCGTCCAGCCCCCCAGCGCGTCCTGCGCATTGATCTCCTCAGGGGTGGCCTTCTCGAGCATCTTGAAGCCCTGGCCCTCGAACATGGCGCACTGGGCGCCGACGTGGGCGACGTTCCACGCGAAGTCGTTGTGCCTCTTGCGGGACCCCATGTAGTCCTCCGGCTGCAGGTACATGCACGGCTTCTGCTTGTCTGGGTGCCGCACCCACTTGGGCATCTTGTACGACTCGAACGGCCTGTGGCCCTGCCTTGGACAGCTAAACAAGCTGCACACGCGTGCACTTCCCGAGGCCCGCGCGAACTTCCTGGGTCGGCGCTGGGCCCCCCCTGGAGTTAGGTCGGGCATGTCCCCCGTACAGGCGGCTTTTGAGCGAAAATGAGGAGGAGAAGAAGGAGGAGGAGGAGGAGGAGAATGAAGAGGAGGAGGAGCAGGAGGAGGAGCAGGAGGAAGAGGAGGAGGAGGAGGAGGAGGAGGAGGAGGAGGAGGAGGAGCAGGAGGAGGAGCAAAGATATACTCAAAAGTCATCCCCCGACTATGCTCGACAATGTTTTAGTATCCCTCCTGTAGAGGGACCCGCCCGACTCGACCCTGGAGGCGCCGCCCCCGGCGCGCTCCGCGCGCCAGGCAGGGGCCCTGCGCCGCTCCAGGAAGTCCGCGCGGGCTCTCGAGGGCCTCGGCTGGTGCACCTCCTTCTTCCCTCTCGGTGTCCTGTGCTCCACCTTCACGATCCCCGTGCTGACCTTCGGGATGGCGGACGGCCAGCTCTCGTCGGTGCCCGCCTGGCCGCTGCTGGCCCCGGCCATCCCTGATTGGAGGAAGAAAAAACCTGCCATCGCTCGGACGTCCGTTCCCTGTGCATTGTTCGGTGTCGTGCGTGTTTTTGTTTCGCGAGGTGGTCCGAGAGGCTCCTACACGGTCCAAACATATCTGGCGCTGACCTCGCCGGCGCTGACCTCGCCGGGAAGCATGCACACGTGCGAGCGATGTCAGGAAAGCTTCATAAACATAAACTTTCGGAGCTCCGCGACGATTTCTTGGATCGGCGCTGGTCCCCCCTCCCTGGCGTTAGGTCGGGCATGTCCCCTTACAGGCGGATTTTGGACGAAAGATAAAACATACCCCCAAAATGCCAAAATGTAACCAACAAGTGCTCAAGAAATCGTCCCCAGACTACTTTTTTGGCATTTTTGAATTTTCCCCCTGTAGCGGAACAGGCCCGACTTCACCCTGGCGCGCGGAGCGCGCCAGGGGCGGCGCAAGACGCCAAGGGGGCCCCGGCGACGATTCGAGAAATCCGCTCGGAACCCCGCACATATATTCGGGGCGCCAGGAACGGGTACGGAAAAAATGGGTACCATGCCCCGCAACTAATGTTGTCCCAAACCGACAGCGGCCGCTCTTGGGCAGGCGGCCTTCAATCTCAAGCTGGGCCACGTCCTCGGCGACACCGACAGCGATTCCTGCTCAAAATGATCAGGAACTGCTGTCGGTCTTCGTGCCGATGTCCTCCCCATGAGCGTAGCCTTATGCTGCTCCCATCGTCATTGAGGGCCACATCACAGAAATCATTTCGAGCACCCAGAACAGTATCGAAGCAGTGTCGAACGCGTATATCGCCTCCTAGGGCTCGACACGTGAAAACCCCCCAAGTTTCGGTACTTTCTCGATGCTCGAAACGCTTTCTGGTGATCGAGGCTAAGGTAGGTTGGAACATCATAAGCTCAGGTCGGGCATGTCCCCCTACAGGCGAATTTTAGTGCAAAGGTGACGAATATTCCAACAACTGCACCCAAAGACTCAAACACATAATAGAAACATCCTCCCCAGACTATTTCTGGACTACTTTTGAAGATCCCCCCTGTAGAGGGAGAGGCCCGACTTCATCATAAGCCTAGACCTGACACTGTTTTGTTGGGGGGGGGCACAACTCGGGCCTCTGGCGCCCGCTCGGGACGATCCAGGCAGCCCCGAGAAAGGCTCCTCGGCGGAGCGCGGCAGCCGGAGCGCACCCCGAGGCTGGAACGCCGCCGAGGACCGACGACGACGCCAGACGACCTCGAATTATGCGACACGACGAGCTCATGTCGATCGCTCGGCGGCGCGCCCGAGGGGGTCGTGATGTGTTAGAACAAGACAGTCCCAGCCAGAAATGTTCTAAGAACACTTCGTGGAAACCTCAAAAGGTTCTTAGAACATTGTTTGGTAGGACTATAGGCGAGCCAGGACGCTTCGCCACTGCTTGATATGGAGGGGGGGAGGCTTCTTGGGAGGAGGCTGCTGCCTAGAAGGGCCGGGCCCCTACATCCGATTGCAGACAAGGCCCATGCTTTCTGAGAAGCAGAGGTGCGTCTAAGAAGCCTACCCCCGTCGCCCTAATGCGTGGCCGGATCGCACCGATGTATGCTTGTGCCCAGTACCCGCCAGCCGGAAAAAGGAGGTGGAAACATTCAGTAGGAAGGCGGATTAGGTAGATTGGGTTCGGGCCCGCTCGACGAACAACAAAAACAGTAAGAGCATTTCGGTTCTTGAAGTGGGAAGGCGCTGGAGTAGATTGGGATCTGGTTAATCTAGACATACCTACACGGACCGAACACATAATAACTTCATGCAAGAACATGAGACCCTCCGCCGGCCCAAACTGACGAACATTCCAGGGTGCCCTGCCCCAGGATGCACAGGAACACCCAACAAACACGAAGAACATTAGGGCACCCTCCCCGAATCGACCTCGATCTGATACCTCGGTCAGGCCGTAACTATACGACAGCCCTTCGGGTGATAAGGAGGTTGCTGGGGGGGGGAGAGGGCGGGAACCAACATCTGACTCAATCGATCTCACTATTGATCTCACTCAACGGGACACCACGGGACACTTGTCGATCTCACTATCGATCTCACTCAACGGGACACCACGGGACACCACGGGACACTTGTCGATCTCACTATCGATCTCACTCAACGGGGCACCACGGGACACCACGGGCCACAACGGGACACCGCGGGACACCGCGGGCCACCTCTCGATCCCTCTATCGGTCTCACTATCGATCTCACTCAACGGGACACCATAGGACACCACGGGACACCTCGGGACACCACATCGATCTCACTATCGATCTCACTCAACGGGACACCACGGGACACCACGGGACACCTGTCGATCTCACTATCGATTTCAATTTTTGAGACACCACGGGACACCACGGGACACCTCGGGGCACCACATCGATCTCAGTATCGATCTCACTATCGATCTCACTCAACAGGACACCACGGGACACCACGGGACACCTGTCGATCTCACTATCGATCTCACTCCACGGGACACCACGGGACACCTCGGGGCAACACATCGATCTCAGTATCGATCTCAGTATCGATCCCACTATCGATCTCACTCAAAGGGATACCACGGGACACCACGGGACACCGCGGGACACCGCGAGCCACCGCCAGACGGACGGACGGACGGGGGATAATCATTTGTCTTGACTTCGCCCTAGCAACGGCGAACACCACGGGACACCACGGGACACCGCGGGACACTGCGGGCCACCGCCGGACGGACGGACGGACGGGGAGAATCATTTGTCTTGACTTCGCCCTAGCAACGGCGGATTCATTCCTCTCGCGCGCCCACGCAGCTTCGCCTCGCCCGCACGCACGACACGAACGAAACGAAACGATTTCCCGGTTGGGGGTCTCCGTTCCACTGCGATCTCACCACCCAACCTCCGATCCCCGTCCCAACTGGTTTTCGGGACATAACTCGGGCCTCCGGCGGCCGTTCGGGGCGATCCTGGCACCCCCTGCACGCTCTCGGCGAGGTGCAGCTGCTGGAAAGCACCCCGAGGCTGGAGTCCTGTCGAGACCCGACGAAAACTTCCGAAAACCTTGAACCTCGAACCCTCCCCTCCCCTGTACCCCCCCTCCCCGAACCGACTTCGATCTTATACCTCGGTCCGACCGTACTCTCAACGACCGGCGTGTACCTTCTTCTTGGTAAGGGGCCGATCTCCATATACACCGAAGCTTTTTTTCCGGCCCCGCACTGAAACTCGAACAGGAAAGCGGATCCTGGTGTATACGGGATCCTGGTGTATACATGTTTCGCTGCTTCCCTGGGAAAGCGGGGAACAAGTATGCACCACATCATCCCAGCGTCGTCCCAGACCCTCAAAAAGCCCTGGGACTGAGCGACAGCCCGCCACAGGTAAGGCATACGGCAGGCTCGCGTCGTGCCGACCTCGGCGTCGGTGTCTGACACCGCGGGGATCGTCCAGCCTTGAGATCGAGCGGCCGCCTCCGGAGCGTCCGAATCGTTCCGCGTCGAACGACTCCGGGTCGCCCGCGGCGTTCAAGATCCAGCGCCGCCGGCGGGGTCGCCGCCGGTCGACGCGACACGAACCTGCAGTGTGCTCCAGCCTTCGACCTCGGGCCGCGCCGCGCGGGCCTGGCGGCCCGCGCGGGGGCGCTCACGGACCGCGCCCTCGCGGCCCCTCGCCGCGCCGGGGCGCTGCTGGAGGTGCCCTTTGACCCGTGGTGCCCCCAAGGCTTTCCTGGTCGGGGCCTCGCAAGCATGGAGATTAGCGATCGCCTGACCAAGGAAGCCCCCACGTTGTGTTGCATCCTCGGGGGCCCTTGTCTGTCCCGTCGCGGCCTGCTGCGCGTCGAATCCGTGTCGAATCCATGTCGGGCTCGTCGGATCCGTGCCAGATCCGTGACGAATCCGCGTCGAGTCCACGCCAAGCCCACGTCGAGTCCGCATCGGGCCTGCGCTGGGCACAAGAAAAGGCACACATTTTTGGGACAGGCGAGGTCCCCCGAAGATGCGACGTAACCCACGGTCTCCAGAGCATCCCCCGAAGAGGAAAAGGTACCCATGCCACTAATTACCCTTGCCTCGTTTTCCCTTTTTGGGGCCTCGTGGGAGACCCTCGTCACCACCGCTGGATTCGCCTCGAAATCCTGATCAGAAGGCATCCTGGGAGAGGTCCGGGGAGTAGAGGTATCGGTACCTTCTGGAGTCCCCACCCACAAGTCTCCAGAGGATCCCTCCCCGGGCCCAGAGGGCCCCAGGGGCTCCAACATTGAGCGAAAAGCTGGGGGGCACCCGGCCACGCTAACGGCGATGTTGGTCAACGGCGATGTTGGACATCTGGTCTTCGCGACGCCGAGCTCGCGCAGAACACATGGCAGGATCGCGCGAGCAAGACCAATACCTACATCGCCGTTAGCCCAGACATGCGACGTCCTGATTTGTTCAGGACGGCGTCCCCAAAGTCCAGACCCTTTCCCCAGGGCCGGTTTTTCATCCCGAGTCGTTCTTCGACGCTCCCGGGGACCGGCGAGGGCCCCCAGGGGCCGCAAACAGCGAAAGACCTGCCGCCCTGATTTTCTTCTACGACGCGATCATGTCTGCGAGCGTGTTTACGGCAGGGGCACCTTTAGCTAGAGGCCTCCTAGATGGGGTCGGAGTAATTAGATGGGGTCGGAGGATCGCGCCGCATCGCCGATACATCGGCGATGCACCAGCGATGCATCGGCGATGCATCGGCGATGCACCAGCGATGCATCGTCGACGTCGGCGGTGCATCGGCGACGCCGGCGTGAAGCACATCGGGCTCCGCATCGAGCCGCATCGGCGATGCGGCGCGATCCTCCGACACCATCTACTCGGACCCCATCTGGGAGGCCTAGATCCTAGATTCTCTTCGTCGGCCTGGCCCGAGGAGGAGGAGGAGGAGGAGGAGGAGGAGGAGGAGGAGGAGGAGGAGGAGGGAGGAGGACGAGGAGGAGGAAGGA